TTGAGTGTTTAGATTCACGTATCTATTAATTTTTTTCCGTCACTAGTAAAAAACTAATTTTTGAAGTATCATATTGATTCGTAGTACCTACTACAGTAGGACGCAACCGAATATTCTGTAATGGATTCAGGTACACTTTTATCTATTTTATCTCGTTGACTCAGTACGAAATTGAGTGTTTAGATTTACGTATCTATTGATTTTTTTCCGTCACTAGTAAAAACTAACTTTTGAAGTATCGTATTGATTTGGAAGTACCTACCGTAGGACGCAACCGAATATTCCGCGATAGATTCAGGTACGCTTCCGTCTATTTTATCTCGTTAACTCAGTACGAAATTGAGTGTTTTGATTCACGTATCTATTGATTTTTTTCCGTCACTAGTAAAAACTAACTTTTGAAGTATTGTATTGATTTAGAAGTACCTACAGTAGGACGCAACCGAATATTTCGCGATGGATTCAGGTACGCTTTCATTTATTTTATCTCGTTGACTCAGTATGAAATTGAGTGTTTAGATTCACGTATCTATTGATTTTTTTCCGTCACTAGTAAAAATTAACTTTTGAAGTATCGTATTGATTCGGAAGTACCTACCATAGGACGCAATCGAATATTCCGCGATGAATTCAAGTACACTTCCGTCTATTTTATCTCGTTGACTCAGTACGAAATTGAGTGTTTAGATTCACATATCTATTGATTTAAAAAATATTTCCGACATCCTTTTCAGACGTCGTCGGTGAGTTTTCCTCATGTGGGAAGAATTTGGCTCTCTACGCCCCGTCACTAAAGCATTTCTCTCTTGTTTGCATAATTACCCACACACGAAATTTAGAGACACTTGAAAACGTCGCTGATTTAGATATGTATGTATGTATACATCCTGCTTCTGCTGCTGTTATGATTTAATGCCCAAAGTGATCTATGCAGTTTGATTTTTTTTTCATATTTGATTAGATTGACGAAGAATATTACGCCGGATTCTTTCCAATGTATAACCTTAATGTGGTACTTAGTATGCGTATTAAGCTATTAATTTTTTTTCGTCACCAGTAAAAACTAACTTTTGAAGCATCGTATTGATTCGGAAGTACCTACAGTAGGACGCAACCGAATATTTCGCGATGAATTCAGGTACGTTTTCATCTATTTTATCTCGTTGACTAAGTACGAAATTGAGTGTTTAGATTCACGTATCTATTGATTTTTTTCCGTCACTAGTAAAAACTAACTTTTGAAGCATCGTATTGATTCGAAAGTACCTATAGTAGGATGCAACTGAATATTTCGCGATGGATTCAGGTACGTTTTCATCTATTTGATCTCGTTGACTCAGTACGAAGTTGAGTGTTTAGATTCACATATTTATTGATTTTTTTCCGTCACTAGTAAAAACTAACTTTTGAAGTATCGTATTGATTCGGAAGTACCTACCGTAGGACGCAACTGAATATTCCGCGATGGATTCAGGTACGCTTCCGTTTATTTTATCTCGTTGACTCAGTACGAAATTGAATGTTTAGATTCACGTATCTACTGATTTGAAAAATATTTTTATTATAACGTATTCGTGTCTGAATCGTATTGCTTTGGATGGGATACGTCGTTATACTTGCTAAATTAAGTATATGTTGGTAATATATATATGTACGTATATACGGAATGAGTGGCATAATTTGCTAGAATTTAATAAATTAGTTAAAAAGATATTATTGATAGAGTAAATTAATGAAGTCAGTTGAAAACGTGTCTGCCGCTTCTGGTTTTTCACCAAATGATCTTCTCCTCGTAGTAGTTCGAGACGACGGCGGGAACTACTCTTCGACATCAACATTCTTCTGATATACATCATACGGGAATATACATACATTCGTGTATATATATATATATATGTATATGCATACACTAATCTCTGTACCAATTTGTATATGAGAGGGTGGCGGAGGTGGAAGGGAGGAGAGAGAAAAGATATTTTAGTTAATATCAAATACCAAATTTAATTTGACGAAGAGTATACTAAAATTTAAAGACTTGGTCTCGTATAATTTTGCAAAAGCAATTGCTATAAGTTATGGACAACCTCATTTTGGTCGCCCGGCCGCTGTTCGAAGCTTTTACTCGAGAGGGTGCTCTTCGCTAAAATGAATATCGTGGTATACAGTCGGTTTATGTATTAATGAAAATTTTTATACGGAAGCTCCTTTTTTACTATTATTTTTTTAATAACGGATATTATTTTTTTCTAAATAAAGAATAAAATGTATATATATATATATATGTTTATTTTCTGTTGAAACGTCGAGTAGAGGTAAAGACAGCAGTGGGTATGGTTTGGCTAATTATTGAGGATGTTGGCCACTGAGGTTGTGGTTTAGAAAAAATTCAAGTTATTTTTATCACGAGGGAAAAGACGGATGGGGTTTGGGGAAAGGTCATACAGACCGGGACCTCTCCTACTGAATTATTGCCTGTGTGCTTGCATGTGCAGACACCATTATACAAGACATACCGGATTTGAACCGAACCCTAAACGACAATGCCTTTGATATTCAATCATATCTACTTTGTTCGTATTCAATACAATCTAGAAATCTACAGGCCAAGTAAAAAGATTCGAAATCCAACCCGAAACTGTCGTTAGAGAAAACCCAGACATTTTCGGCTTTCCGGTTTTCAATTTGATTTCGATTTACAATCCGAAAAACTACGATGGCTGCAATCAAAACAAATGTGATTTTCTTGTTGGTAATCATTGTATCCTGCCATCCGGAACCTCAAAATCGACAATAAATAACCAGGCTCACGATAAGGTGACAAAACGTGCAAATCGTGTTTAAAACAAAATCGAGACAATACATAATATAAAACATCGTGTACGTGAATTACAAATGAGTCGCAGCCTATTCCGGTTGACTTGTTTCTCGTAAAATGTAAAAAAGAGTTAACCAAAAGAGAAATTTAAATTGATTTGTTTAAAATATAATTGCTTTACATTAAATACCAAAATTCCTACTGCCTTCCCAGTTACCAACTACTGCAGTCATTTTATGCAAAGCTGGGAACATGCCCAGGACATAATACAAGAAAAGAAGATTAAATCAGAACCTATACAACTAATGAGATAAACAATGTTTCACAAGAACAACCTATGGAATTACAATTCAACCTTCCGTTTGAAGAAACTTCAAATTCGGAGGCTTTGGTGGCTTTACATAACTAGAAAAGGATTTTTTTACAGCATCCAAACTTCCTCCTCCATGGAACTCTGCTCCCACAACCAGCCCAATCTATACAATGTTGCGAAGCTGAAAAACAAAGGGAGTAATCCAATCATATAAATCGTAAGCTAAAATTGTGTTTGGTTCTGTTTTCATGTCATTCACACCTAATTCTTGCTTCTAATTTTTACACTAATCTTGACACGATAATTTAGAATATAGATTGTATATTTAATCTCAAACTTGAATTCTTTTGAGTGTGGGAATTCAATTTTTATGAACTCCTACTTCCGAGCAGGCGTAAATTCCTAGTTCCAAGTAATTCAGAAAACGGTTAAGGAATGAGATCAGGCATAAAAGCCATTCTAACTCCATAAATCAAAATTCCCTCAAAAATATTTCTAAACATTAAAAAGGACTAACATATGAATTAGAAGCAAGAATTGAGTACGAACAAAATGAAAATTGAACCAAATGAAAGGTATGGTCGTTGGATTCATTCATTTGGCATCGAGATGCTTCTTTCAGCATAGAATTAGAGATAGACCCCATCTAACACTTCTTTTCAAAAAATAAATAAAGAAAACAATGCGGTAAACTTCTGACCTTAATCTGTATTATGAGATTGATCATGCTCAATAAAATCTAGTGCAACGTCCTTGGTGACAACATTGACACGGCTCACCCTATGTTTAAGTGTCACCCCATATATCTTGTCAGCAACTTTGACGAGCTCAGGCCGAAAGGTTGTTGTAATGAATTGTGTGTTTGCCAAATCTGCCAGACGACGAATCATATCTAGAAAACATAATTAAGGATCTATTTGCAGGATCCTTGTAAAAACAGAATGATAGCTAAAAGAAAAGAAAAGAAAAGAATAACAAGCACCAAAAGAATGGTCCACTTAGCACAGAACAAAATGGAATCAAGATAAGGGGATAATTCCATTAGATTTCCAGCTGCCTACTGCTAACTAAAAGCATATAACACACTTATTTGCGTTTCAATCCAGATTTTTTCTGGTGTTTGCAAGCACTAGCTAATTGCTCAAATCCAGCAGTTAAAACCATAACCTTTTTGCTTCAGAATGCCAAAAAATTTATAATAACATTCTTAAATCATAACTATGTCCTTATCTCTTGTTCCCTATTAGTCATTAGTTAAAATACAGAGAGATTAACTAAGGAACAAATGAGACTATGAACCCATCAAGTTCAGTTTAGTATCCTTGACCTATCAGCTTTATTTAAATAGCATGAATTCTTTCCATTTCAATTTGGCAAATGCTTTTTAACATTGTTTGAAATTTAGTCTACATCAGAATACTGAGAACAGGAGCTCCAAAATCCTTAAAATCACAGAAGATTTCACTGGAAAGTCAAAGCTGCTAGTACCAATTGTGGCTTAATCCACTCAAAGGTGCAAACCTAAATATGGCTCTGCTAGAAGGAGACTGGTGGAAGGAATAGCAGGTTTACTTTGTAACCCTAAAGAGCAGTAACAAGAGATTCAAATGGAGCCAAATAAAAAGAAAAAAAAAAAAAAAGAAAAGAAAGCTTGGGGCAAACATGTATCCAGGATAAGATTGGCGAAGGATGGATATTCAAAGAGGTATACATGTGCCTATATATGCATAAGGACATAATTGTAATGTGAACTGTTAAACTTGAGAAGAACAGCAAGCAATCTGTATTAAGCAGGATACTCCCAACGGCAGTTCTGTACTGGGGATCCAGCGCCGCATCAATCTCATCAAAAAGGTAAAATGGTGCAGGATCACATCTCTGTATGGCAAAAATTAGGGTCAGGGCTACCACAGTTTTCTGACCCCCAGACAACTGCTTCATTGATTGTGTCTCTCCTTGCCCGGTGAAAGACACCTACATAGAAATATTACATTTCATATTAAAATTGGAAATATTAAAAAATTATAAACAGAAATCAAGGATGTCATCTGATTCAAGGAGAAATACCAAAATAGTCCTCTAAGTTTGACATTTATTAAAAATTATTCCCTATGTTTTTTCTCCGTTACAACGTGGTAGCTAAGGTTTTCCATTTGTTTCAAACATTTAGTGTCCTTCCATTTATTAATGAAAAAAATCTAAAATAGTTATATCATGTTTGCATACTTTAAAAAATAACTCAAAAGAATTATTTTGACTAATTAATAAATTAATAACAGTAAGCTGTATGAATTTATCAATTTAATTAATTAGTCAAACTCATTCTTTTGAACTGTTTTTTTTTAAGTATTCAAACATTTCTAACTATTTTAGCTTTTTCTGTTGGAAAATGAAGGAAATTGAATACTTGAAACAAATAGAAAAAATCATGGATCAAATTATATATGAAAAAAACATTAGAGACCAAATTGTAAAAAGTGTCAAACTTCAGAGATTATTTTGAAAATATGCCTTTAATTTAATTGTGCACTTGAAGTGATAAAACTACATACCTTCACTTTTACACCAATGTACTTCTCAACCCTTCCTTCTAAATCTGCTTCACGAGGTCCATCATCATCTTGGTCATCATCACCGTGATCACCATCCTAAAGAAATTAAAAACCATGGAATCAATAAGATAACAACAGATCAACCAAAATAGACCCCAAGTCATTAGAATGATGCTGCAACGTATCTTCTCAAGGATGGTACATTCTCCATATTCTAGGCAATAAACTGAAAAGTATTTGCAAGTTAAACAAATCAAACCATATAAGGACAAGAATTGACAGAAACTATGTCACATCCATTTTCCTTATGGTAAACGAAACAAAGCCATGCAAGGGTAAAACATTCAGAAACTCAACTGGCGAAGCAGGTTTCTTTCAGTTTATCAGTTTCTAACACTATTTGGTAGTGTAACAAAGTAAAATAAGGGCTACTTAGTAAAACAGAGTAAATCAGAGGTTGTAATCAAATATCTTTTAGGAGTTACTACCACAACAAAAATGTTCTTCCATTATCAAAAAAGTATGCAACACATTATGACAAGAATAGATAATGAGGCATCTATGAAAAGATAATGTTAAATAAATTATGAAACTCTCACAGCCCTCAATTTCAGATTTGGGTAATTGGAGACTAAGACAAATTAGTGGGATTTAGTGAACCCTACTTTAACCTAATAAAATTCTTTAGAATTATCAAACGAAATTTTTATCAAATCCTAATTTCCTTTATTTTTATTTATTAAAAGAAAAAATCTAAAATATCCTTTTTAAGACTATCCACAACCACCTGCCAGTTTTTGTCTTCCTATGTTTAGATATTAACACTGCCAATATGTTTGATATGCTGATAGATGGCTTATTTTATATGGCTCATTTGTAAAATTTATATGTTTGTCATTTATAAAATTTTATATGGCCCATTCTATTCTTATATTAATATTTGATACGTTCTAATTATAATTTATATTCTTTATGTACAATTGAACCAACTTTACTGTAATCTTCATTCAAAATAATTGATTCATATTCCTAATTGTCAAGGAAGAGCTGACAAAAACATCTACCATAAATTGCACATAAAATGATAGAATTGACTAAAAAGTAGAATAATTTCCATTAAAATCTATATCTCATTTTCATTTTTATGCATATTCTTAATCCACCAATTTGAAGGGATAAGTCTCCTATGAAAACCCAAAAAAAAACAAGTCTGGCAGAGAGATCCTATAGAACATAACAATGCAGCAGGTGAAAGAACTACAATAGGAAATCTAACCCACTTAGCCACAACTCCTTGTATAAATAAGAAAATAAATTAGATTCCAATATAATGATCTTCAACACCATGCAAACATAAAGTCCTAAAATGAAAATATTTAAATAAAGAAACATTTTTGCTGCCAGAAGTTAAGAAGGTTTATAAAGCATATATGAAACCAACTGAAACAGTTCTCTTTTCTTCTGTACAATATGAAGCAATCAACAGAATCTCAATCTACATACGTCAAAGTAATGCCAGATAAATGAAAAACAGTTGAAGAGGGAATAATTGGAAGATAGTGTAACCTTTTTCTTCATCATAACCAGATGGCCATGGCCACCTTGCACTAATTCAGAGAATACTTCTCGAAAGTGCCGGGCAACACCTTTGAAGGTACGCTCAATTGATTCATCCTTCCGCTGATCTAAAACTGCTATTAATTCCCTAATTTTCTGCAACAGAAATCAAATTTACAACTGAGCAAATTCATACACTTAATTGTAGACATTAAGTTGAAAAATAAATAAATATAGAGAAGTCAGCAGATTGATGGCTTTATGTTGAGTACAGGCTATGTAGAAACTACATTCAGTTGGAGTAGCAGAGCAAAGGGTTTTGAATAATAGGGCAGAGAACAGGATTCCAAAAGCTGTAATGGGTCACAATGTCATGTATACGAGCAAGACCACAGTTAATCCTAATAGCACTAGGAGTCCTAAATATGTAATAGTAGGAACCTTGCCAGAGAAAGGGATGCTTTTAAGACCCCTTCTCCTCTCTTGTTAGGGTGCTTTTTTAACACCCAGTAGACAAAATAGGCCTGAAATATAGCCAAATCAACTAGAACATAGCCATTTCAGCAAAACTTTAATTACCACAACACCCTATGAAACTAAAAGTCAACAGAAGTAATATGTCAAAATTAAAAAAAATGACCCTTTCTTACATAACAAAAGAATCTCTTTGGAATTGTTTTAGATCAGTTTAGCCTTTGGAACCAATAAAGAATATCTTATTCTAATCAAACTATCAAGCTTCATCGTTTTAATTTTTTCAAATGTAATACCTCATCACCAGCATCAAGTTCTGCCTGTCTCTTCTGGAGTTCTTCTCGTTGCTCAGTAAAATTTACATATTGGTCAAGAGCTTTCTTGTTTACATGACTGAACTGTTGTAGTTGTTCATTGCACCTGTGGAGCATCTTCTGCAATTCCTTAACATTTTTTCGCTTGTACCTAGCATTTTAAAAAATAAAAGAGAATTTAATAGGCCAAACATGCCTTAAAGATGTGTAACTTTCTTCTCCAAATAGATTTTATCAGCACGCGAAAAAAAAAATTGAACTGCATGAGTTGAAGGAGAAAATTAGCAATATCAAACTTTCAAGGAATATCAGCAATATTATAAATAGTCATATAAATTGGAGAAAGGGAGTGACTAAACTTTTCAAGAGAGAATGTTACAACTCAAGTACCAAACAAGTCTTGACATGTATTGACATTATTTATCAAGAAAATTTTTTTATGAAAGGACTGATTACGTTTCGAAAGCATCAGATGACAATGGACCAAGTTCCCTTATTTTCTTTGAGTACTCTTCCTGTTTAGAAAGCAGAGAATTTCTCTTGCTAAACAGCTGTTCGAGTTCTTTTGCTTCATCCTGAAGTGTCTTCTCATAATCGTCTTCCAAATTCTACAAAAACAATTATCAGCTTAGAAGCAGCCTAAGAAAGGAACTGTAGAGAAAAGAAAGCAGACAGTAACACAATATCAGCTAAACTACCTTTAGCTTTATTTTGTCATCTTTGATTTTTTTTAGTTGCTTTTTCCGCTCATTTATACCTCCAGTAATTCCTGACAAGTATACATCACCCAATATGTTACTATAAATCAAAAACTTAATCAGTGAAAAAAATAGCAATTCAAGGCTCACTTTTGAGCTGTTGTGTTGCATAATCAACTAATGATTTGGCATCCTCCAGCTCCTGCCTCTTTAATTCAACTTCACCAACAAAACTGTCAGCCTCCACAGAGGATATTATTGCCTCTAACTCCTGCTTCCGCCTCTTAAGGTTGGTACTTAAATTAGTCTCAAGCTCAGCTTTCCTTGTTTCAGTCTATTTGACAATAAAAACTACATGAGGGAGAAATATCATGCAAGCTGCAATTTTTCAGGGAGAACAGTTTACATCACTAACCTCAATACGATCTGCCCTGCAGGCAATGAGCTGTTCTTTGAAATCTTTGATTTCAGGGTTCAATCGCGATAGAAGATCTTTTTCCTCTGGAGTTAAATGATCAATTAGCTCTGTGCCCATTTCAGCTTGCTTCATGCCCATACTAGCTCTCAGCTGATCAATTTGAGATTGGACATCTGCAAGTGATTTTTCCTGCAAGAAAGTGACAGGAAGAGGAGGGAGAGGAGGGGGGACTGATCAGCTAGAGAGAGAGAGAGAGAGAGAGAGAGAGAGGGAGGTGGGGGGGCAACTGCCAACAATGGATGCGCCTTTAGCAAACCATAAGTAGTTCAAAACTTACCTTATTAGCAAGAGCTTTAGAAAGCAATTGCTTCTGCTTTTCAGCATTAGCAATATCCTGCTTATGTTGCTCCATCTGTGATTTGTCATGAGCTCGTTTGGCCTCAAGTTTCTGCTGCTCAGCAACTAGTTCTGTAATTTTCTGGTCTAACCGTGAGATAAATTAAGGTAAAACCAACATAATTAAAGATCAGGAAGATCATAAACATTAACAAAAGCAACAAAGATGATTGATTGTCTGATTTTCTAAGCAAAGACCCTCACTAGCCAAAATTATGGCTTAACCAACAGTCTAGGAACAAGATGTCCAAGGGACACGAAGAAAAGGTAAAATTCCACTTGACTTGCAACAAGAAAACAGTTAGTCAGCAGTAACCGTAAAGAACTTGCATCTGAAAAATAAAACACCAACAAAACCCCATTTGGAAAAATTACAGTTATAGACTGCAGAAATTCCATTTCCATCCCTCCTCAACCTGTTGTTTAAGGCCTGAACTTCTAACCAACAAATAAGAACCAAGTATTCTGAAATTGGGCATAAAGGAAACATTCATTTGGCACTTAAAGAACTAGCAAGCTAGGCTATGCCAGGTTAATTCTCCCAACTTCATACATATGTATATTCCTCTAAGGAGGCTGGCGACAACCATGAGAAAGCAGCCCAGAACCTTCTGTTAGATCCCGTGAACATGAAATTAGGAAATGATAGAGTTAGGAAATCCAATTAAGGCAACAGAACAACTGAATTGTCTTTTTTCAAGACAAAGAACAACTGAGTTGTCAAGCTACAAGAAAGGATTTCCTTTGGAGTGGAAAACCAAATTAGGGAAGAAAAACGAGAAATGCAACTTCAGAGACCACATACATGAAACTTAGGCTCCATTTAATAGACGAAAACACTTTTTAGTATTCATTTCACAAATTCATACATGTTTATGCATTTAGTTACTCATGGAACTGTGTAAGAGTTGCTCATATGTGGAATAATCAAAACACAAACAAAATCATATTCTAGAAACCACTAAATTCTAATCTCATCATCATTTTTACTATTGTTTTCTTTCATTGTTAACTAAATTATATGGTTTTGTGAATGAAATAGATATAAATTTTGAAAATAAAATTTTGAAAATATTTTCATTACCAAATAGAGCCTTAAATGCTGAAAATGTTTTCATTACCGAATAGAGCCTTAAATTCCCAAAACCAAACTATGCAAACTTTTTAGAAAGAATTAAAATCTATTAAATTAAAAAAGAAAACAAAATATAGTAAACAACTAGAGCAACAGGCACCAAAAATGCCGAAGGGCCAAAGAAATACACATACATACGGACATTGATATGCATATGCATATTTATAAGTAACTACACAAGAAAACAACAACCGACAAGGTTTCATAATAAACACAAGAAAACAACAAGATATCCCAATATACACATAACTACACATATATACAGATATTGATATACACATGCATACCTACAAAATACATATGCATATACAAACAAGAAGAAAAAGGATATTTTGTAGTGTGGATCTAACTCTGGCCAATTCTTCCTCATTTGTGTCATTCAATTTTGTATTTTGCATTATTGCATTCATAAACCTCAATTTTGAGCGCCTATGATCATAAAATCCTCCAGTCATGCCACCTTTTTTGCTCACTTGATCACCTGTAGCATGATCCACAATGACTTGTCATCAAGCCACACATAGCAAAGTCATCACACAACAAATATTTTTGGAACAAAAATTGTAAATAATATTAACCGGACCCAAGATCCTTCTCACAAAAAAAGGCAAACCTTGAACAAAATAAAATAAACAAATAAAAAAGGTCCGGAACTAAAGATCTCCAACCTTGCTGAAGGGAGTACACACTCCCACTAATTTTCTCCTTCCAAATTACCTGAAAGTTGGTCAAGGGGATAAAGCCTAACAGCTTCTTTTTTTTCAAATAAAAGTAAGAGGATATGTATTAATGAGGTGCCAAGGGGACACCGCCCAAGTACAAAAGTATTTATAAGTCAATTAGCGTATCTACAATGTCACAAAAATCATTCATACTATCGAGGTTGTGATCAAGGATAGTAAAGGCAAAATAATGAAAACAGTTATCCGTAATAGTGTTGAAATCTACTTCTTTCCCCTCAAAAGCGCAGTAATTACGCTCCTTCCAAATAACCTAAAAAATAGCGAGAGGGATGATGCCGATAGGTTTTTTCCCGCAACTGACACCTTCCCAAGCTAACAATTCAGCAATAGTAGTGCCTGCCATAACCCAAGATAAACCAAGAAGACCGAGAAACATGGACCATAATTTTTGAGATGTAGGACAGCCAAGGAGAAGATGGTTACAAGTTTCAAGTCCATTTTTGCAGAGGAAGCATCTGTTCACTGCGGTAATGCCTTTTTTCATCAAATTGTCAAGAGTAAGAATCCTTCCTTTGGCAGCCTCCCAAGCAAAAAATGAAATTCTGGGTCCACCACTCTTGAAGCCTAACAGCCTCTTGAAGAACTGTCAGTTGAGAAAAACCCTCCTAGGTCCACCACTCCAAAGCTATAGAGCTCCCTGCAACCCACTTCATGTTTATAGAACCCAAATAAGTACAACACAGCTACAAAGCCACGGGATGGCAAAGCAACAAATGATTAGTAGTCTCCTCCACTATTAAGCATAGATAGGAGAGCAACCATTAACCAATATTTTTCCTCTTCTCCTCAAATTATCCCTAGTCAAATTCTCACTCATGCAACTTCCTGAGCCAAAAAAGAAAAGCCAATTCATGGAGAAGGTTTATGCCAAAAATATGCTTAGGTGGGAAGAACTGGAGAGTGGGAGTTCTACTAGATGGGTTGTTAAATGACAAGAAATTAACATCTCCATCATGACATCCACCTTCATCTCCTCTAACCAGACCACATCTAAGGGCCACTTGTTTTAACAAACTGTCTTAATCACCAATCTGTCACTATGGTCATTAACAACCTCATTTTCGAGAGAAAAGCTTCCACAGCTTCGCAATGGATTGGCAAAATCACTGCCAAGCCATTTACTCCTTTTCCTCTTTCATAGTTGCTAGATCAACCCAAACATTTAAGCTCATTCCTTCCCTGAATTTCTTAATATGGACCTTTAGTCTTCCCATTTTTGGGGCCTAATCAGCAAAATTTGATGGCTGTAAATAAATGATACTACTCAAAATTAGAAAGCCAACCTTGAAAGAATCCACTAACTCTGGCAATATACTAAAACCCATAATTGCCTCCTGTTGCCCAAATACTATCTCTGAATCTCAACCCAGTTCTCACAAGCCTGCCTGATGGACAGGAATGCTCCACATATTAACACGTCATAATCGTCCCATTTGCATGAGTTGCCCTACTTGTCATCTACCACAAAGCTTCTACTAATTCACCCCTGAGACAAGTGTTACCTTTCTCATTGCTCCCCCCACCAAAATGAAGGTAATAGAAGTCACTTGTCACAACTAGACAAAGATGATGAAGAAATAAACCAGAGCCAAGCAATGGGCTCTTTAAAGATTGCAGCACCTCTAGGTTGTTGGGAGGAAACTAAACTGTATCAGAGGACATACACTTCTTCAATGAAACCCACACTCCAATCACTTCCTAAGACAGATTGGAATTAGGGGCAAAAGATTTGGGCTGCTAGACCAATCTTGGACAACCCAGCCAAAGTCCATGCCTTTGTATGTTCCAAGACGCTTTGGTGTTTTGAAATTCAAATAAAAGAAACAAAACAACTCCATCTGACAACGAACTACCTTTGAACTTTCAAAACTACGTATCAACAAACTTGGTTCCTTTTTTTGCAAATAGATCAATTTAGAGTGTCAGTTTTTTCGTGTCATGCCTTGCCATTCACCGGCTGTTGGTTGTGCCTTGCCAAGGAAGACCAAGATGTTGTGCCAGCAAGGGACAACAAGATTCCCAAAAAATAATATTCAGTGATAAAAAAATTAAAGAAGTTTTCTCATTTAAAATAAATTTTAAATACGTGGACATATGTCTTAAAATGTTATATTAATTAACAACTATGTCCAGGTATTTAAAATTTTATTTAAAGAAAACAAATTTTAAGCGTGTGTGGTTTTCAAGATTTAATTTTAAATCTTGTAAGCTCTGAAAAATATACTAGTAAACTTTGGAAAAGATGTATTCATAAAATTTTATGATAACTTGAAAGTGTTAAGTCAGTTTTGAAATTTTATTATTTTTGTAAGTGATCATGGTTCTCAACTCTTAGAACTTCTAATCTTTAAGCATGGATGCAGAATTCAGAATTTGAATTGAGGCTATAACTTAAAATTCCAAGTTATCCCAATGCAGTTCTCCTACTGTGTCAAAAGCTGCCTTTCCATATCAAATTATGCTGAATGAAACATGGAAGTATTTTGTGCGGGCTTGTGGATCATTTTTACTGTATCGTGTTAAAAAGCACATTCACACTTTTCTGCTGTCCACGTTCATGTCAACATGCCATGTTGTGTCAATCAACCACGAACACATTTTCTCTTGCCTGAAATTATGCTGGATTGTGCAGTCAAGTTTTCATGTTGTGTCATGACATCAATTCGTGCTAAACATTCCATGTGCATGCTGACCAAAACATAAATACATTTTGTAATAGCCCATGTCATTTTTGGTGTATTACGTTATTTTGTGTTGCATTACACTACGTTTGTATCATAAACCAGTTCATACCAAACATATTGTGCTTCTTTCTTCTAAGGTTTTGCTTAAACAATATGGATATCACCAAGCCATAAAAATGAACACCACCGAATATTACCACAAACAATGGCTATATCTTTCAACCAACACCTTGCTGAAGCCATCATCCTGGCCTAGACACTAGTGTGAGCAAACACTTGCCTGGATAGCAGTCTTCCAACTATTCTTCAAATACAAGTCAGCTAAAACCACACTACAGCCAGTGACTGCCATCATCCATCTCCTTCCTCATAGAACAATTTTTTTCATAGTGTAAAATGACAAATCCACTATACGCTTGATCGATTACTCAAAAGTGCTAGTTGGTGGCAATTTTGAGGTTAAACCACAAATATAGACCACATTTTACCCTATAGCACTACCAATATGAAATGTAAGGTCTTACAAACTTTGCTATGCAAATGAATCGTGTGCTAACAATCTCAAACAAACAAAACAAGTACGAGAATCCAATCCATATATCCTATATGACAGTGGATCTGATATCAATTCTGATACCATTTGTAAAACCACATGCCCGCATAAACTTGCCTCATTGTTCAAAACTACAAGCTACTGACGCTTTGAAGGCCTTTAGGCAACAAATATATATTGTGCTTTCTCCCATAGTACTGTGGGCTGTTAGACTTAAAGTTGCCACTAAACTTCTCCTTAAGTTCAAGGAATCTTTCCCCTGGCTTCCTACCCGAAACAAGCATAAGGTACCCCTGTGGATTCCTTAACCCAGTGATTCTAGATTTTTTCAATAAGTTGCTATATAGAGAATTAAGAGAACTAGCAAATGCTTTGGTCATAAGGTGGACAAAGACCATACACTAATAACGTACCCAGTTGTATAAAGAACATATGGATTCCTCCCCTTAACTTAATCTACTCCCGGGCCACCAACTGGTATCTTTTCCTACCCTCAAAATCACCTCAAAGGAATCTACATTGGATTTATTCCAATCTTTTGCAACAATAACTGGGATTATCAAAAGGGACATACAATAAATTGGTAGGTTGGCTAATGTGTTTTTAATGAATGTGATTCTCCCGTCTTTGGAAAAGAGTGTGATTCTACCCCCTCTTAATGGGGAGGGAAAGAAATGAAAAGACTTGTTAAAAGACAAAAGAAGAAAACATTTTTGTGTTGTTTGGATAATTAAACTTTGGGATTATTGTATTATTTTGTTCATTTTAGTTGTATACCTTTAAAAATAAAATGGCAAGCAAAACATTTAAGGGCAAACTAGAAAATATGTAACTAAAATCTCTGACCTCTTTTCTTTTCCTCTCGTTTTCATTCTAATTTGCGGTGATGAGAGAAATAAACTTTTCAGAAAAAAGGAAGGGATTCCAACATTACTATTCTCATCCAAACAGGCAAACAAGTTTTTCTCTTTTTTCTTTAATCTCCTTGATCAAAACAGAGTATTGAGGAAATGTGAGACCATCAGAATTCTACATTACTCTTTCCAATTTTTTTTTATTCAAGCCAGTGAAAGAATAGTAAGTATCTTATGGTCTCCTTTCCTTTTTTCCTTACTCTCCTAAACCAAACATTATGCAAGTGCTGATCTCTATCACCTTGCTTAATAACTATATCAAGTAGCAGATTAACTATCCATTCATCATACAACACATAATAGATGAAGTAGACATAACAGAAAAAAGATTCTTTACCTTCCAAAGTTATGCAGTCTAGACCATCAGTGCGAGCAACTCTTGTGGCCACATCCAAATCTCGACAGATTACTGTTCTAGCAAAAACCTATAAAGAGGTAATTAAAGCATGACAGAAGTGCCTTCAAACATCTGAGAAGTTCATATACTACTACTAGTCTACACAGTCAAAGCATAGACAAAACCAGGAGACACTAAACTGCTCAACCACTTTTTTCAATAAAAAAAGTGGGATGATTTTAAATCTAGTTTCTTTTGTCCTTCTTTGATAAGTGAAATTTTTTACACCATCTATTAGTTGATATTAAGACTAATACTCGTGTAAAATCCTTTATAATAGGATGTCACTACTTGGTGCCTTGTGAACGATACTAACAAAACTTAGATATATTTTTATTGGGAAGATAAGACATCACAAAGAACATCCAACCCCTCAATTCTCGTATCACAAGCACAAGGCCAAAGATATTTATCTACATGAACTAAAAGAGTTATTACATCCATCTAGATTCAGTAACTTCAATCAGTCTTTTACTTTTCCCTCTAAGCAACCAAGAGACCTTCTTCTTTACAAAGCAGTGTAATCCATAACTTGCAGATTTATATTAATATCCAGGTGCAAGCAACAGTAGCTAAACACAGAAGAACTGCAAATAATTTTCAAATCCATATCTTTATTTTGGATGTATAACACAGCATTAACTTAGATTATTAGAACAAGATAAAAGTTAAAGATACAAACATATTAAAGAAATAAACCTCACCAAAATTAAGATCAAACTAATAGAAGACAACAGTAAGTATAATCAATATTTCACTTTTAGTCATTTTTATGATTATAACTAAAAACTTAACATAACAAACTATAAATTATTTTATGACGATGAAGCTAACCTGGCCAAATGCTGGTGTATATTTAGGCTTGAACTTCAATTTTTTCAACAGAGGAATCACATCAGAACTCTTTGGATAATTCACAGGCGGTGCCTTCACTCGGTTCAGTGGTATAAAAGTAACTCTCCCACCTTTTAATGAATTAAGGTGTCTGATTATCTGAGTTGATATTTCATCATTTTCAACTACCACATGAAATAAGCTGCCCAAGAAACAAGAAACAAGAGATTCAAGATTGCATAAATGTCAAGATAATCAACACAATCAAATCAGCCAGCAAGTACTCAGATATTCTGAGAACATGCAGCTTTAGGTCACAAATATTAGCACATTTTCAGAATACCTATTTCCAGCAGTAACTTCAACAGCTGTGAAAAATTTTTCATCACAATCAAGTAACTCAATGACTGGACCAAAAACTCCATCAATTTTAAATTCTGCACAGATTCGTCGGATAGAATTCAGCCCCCTCCTAACATCCTGAGAACATTCAGAAGACCAGAATTGAGATCTGATGCACAGAACCACCTTCAAATAGGCATAAGTTCGTCATGGATAATCAATAGACTTCAAATTGATTCTTTTTGAATGATGCACAGGCAGTTAATTGGAATGGACGGTAAGTTCGTCAGAACCATGTCTACAGTAATTTCTATGTAACTTTTGTCAGCAACTCCGTTAAGATATATGTATAGAATAAGTTCAATAAATTCAGCATCTATGACACCTGCCCATCCCGTGCATGATTCAGATTCAACAGAATGGATGCATAAGGAAACTCTTCAGTGAACTAATACTGTAAGAGTAAGTCTGTAAATTTGTGTCTACTTGACAATCCTATGTCCAAGTATGAATAGTTACACATGTATATGGAAAGTATAACGCCATTCACCTAAATATGATGCACTAGCAACCAGAATATTAAATCTATGAAGTGAACAATTCACAAGAAAAACTTGTGACTAAGAGTGAGCCAAATGAGGGGAAACTTATTGATGAAGAAGATGAGGTACCAGATTGCAAGTGAACACTTGAAAGATAACAAACACATTCTGAAGGGGAAAAAAAATAAGACAGAGGAAAACCCAGAAAGAACCCAAATATAAATATATTTGCCGACTCTACAGCTGGACATTTATGCAGTCTTCCCTGGCTAAAAAAATCTAAAAGTTAGAGTGCAATTTCGTTTTCGTAATCCTAAACATAGAAGTACTGGCCACGAAAAGGAAAGAACAAAAGAGGAAGAACAGTAAGCTTGTAAAAAATGAGTTTGAAATGACTACCAAGCCATTCTCACCTTCCTTGCTTTACCTAAAAAACTCTCTCAGAAACCTTACTTTTTCTCCTTATTATGATTAGAAACAAGCACGGTAAAACTATGGTATAAAATTTAAGAAAACAATTCCGAGGTCCACCTTGCACCTCTAAAGGCTTCCTAGATCCTTCTCAAATGTATGGAATTACATGCACATCTGCCTATGCATGTCTAGACAGCAAAAGAAATGAAAAGTTATCGAGGCAATGAAACTGCTGTTATAAAAAAGTACAGAAAACTCCAACTATTTCTCCCTCCACCACTAACATTCATGATTTGGGCATGAATTTCCGAAGTCACCTATCTTTGGCCAAATCAAGAATTGAAGGGCGTTTGATGGCATTGATGATGTAAAGGATTTTGATGTTCTTAAAAATAGATGGTTTAGGACCCTAGAATTTTTGTTGTTGGGTCATCCTCCTATGTTTTTTGTGGCTCTTAGAGTCTTTCTTTGTGCGGAGGACTGAACTGTAAATATCTGTACATGGCTTGCACCCTTTGGTGTTTATACTAATATACATTTACACTTTTTATTTTTAAAAAAAAACAACCCAAGGCACCAGCCCTCACGCCTACTCCCCAATTCAAAGCTTTATTGGATTTAGGTTGGATGACAAAAGATCAAGATTGCATGCCCCTCCAGCAGACTTCATGAATATTCACAGGCAACTGCTTGGACACCTTCTGGAAAAAAACAATCTTCTACTAGAATCATCTTTTCTTTCATTTAGCACTAGATACTTCCTGTAGTTATTCCTACTCATGACAATCCAAAAGATCCTTTAACTTCATACTCCTAATCCATCAAACCGGACCTTGTTTCCAGTAACACGGACAATCTAAGAACCAACTGAACTTCCAATCCTCACAAATAAATGGAGATGTGAGATTGCTTATCATATTTTGAGATTCACAAACAATCATCTGCACAACCCTCAGAAACAAGGTCAAAAGACTCTCTACCAATGATAACTAGTCCAGAGAGGAGTCAATGGCATTGGAAGAGGCAAACCTCTTGACTGGTGAAGATCTAGTCAAGAAGACACAGGAGAGAGAGATAAAGAAGGACATGAAAGGATAGCTGTAGGAATCGGCAATTTCATGTGGAGGAAGAGATTCTTGATATTCTCAAGAACTGTAACAACATAAGAGCATATTAGGCCATATCAAAGTCAGTTTCAACAATTTTCCTTGTAGAAAAATTTCGTTAGGTTTTTGTTCTCCATCATCAATCTATAGCGAATGTTGATTTAGCATTTTCAACATATGTTATTAGCCACAAATAAAAGAAGTAATCACTTTTTTTTAGATATTTATTAACAGCTACAAACAAATGAAGCAATTATTTTTCCTAAAAAAGCAATAACTCACTCCAGGAGTTGCATTATCAAGGTTTTTCTTCGCCTTCTCTACTTCAATTTTCAGTTTATCAATCTGCGCAGAAAGTTCACTTTCTTTCCCCCATAATGACCTAAGCAAGCAAAGATTTAGTTATATCAAAATATTATGACTTGAAAAAGATGAATAAGGCAACAAATCCTACTTCCTTTCATCTTGCAGCTTGTCTCTCTCTGCTTTGTATCTATTGAACCCTTCACGTGACTGAGAGATGAGGGACTCTAAAATCTGAATTTCACTTTTGTGACTCTTGATGTATGCATCGCGCTCCTCCATATCAACATTAAGCCGATGAATTTCATCTTGAAGTTTTTGCTCCTGGGCACATAAAAAATAGCTCAATCGAAGTGTTTTCCCATAGTTAAAATGAAAACACGACATGATCTACTTCGAAAATAAAAACAAGTATAAAAGAAAATCTTTACTATCTCAGCTGCTGTATTAAGAATAATGGTAAGAAAAAATTGGCTGCTGGAGAAGAATATAAGCAGGCAGCTGGCAAACAAGAACTTGGAACCAAACAAGAGTTGGACATGCACATAAATCAACCAATACCATTAATCTTGGTTTTATTCCTCCCCAAAAATTAAAAAAAAAAAGAAAAAAGAAAAGTAAATACCCAATAAACTAACATAACATTTCCACATGGAATTAAGTTTTAAGACTGAAACAGAAACCCCTAAAACTAATGCCAATAACCAGCTGCAAAATATGAGTATATTGCATAAATGTAGGTATGCAAGAACAACCTTTTTACAACACCAACTAGGCAAATTCTGAAAATTTGACACTGACTAATCACTTCCAACTTCCTTTGAGATTTAATGGAAGTGTAACTCCCATGTTAGGTTGCCAAGGCAGCAGACTGATCCATAATCCGCTATGTGCAATTGTCTACCCAAAAAGGAAACGCTATTTTGAGACACTACCAATTATGATCCCAAGAGGACCTGCATGTCACTTCAATGACCAACAGGGTCAATTGTCAAACTCCCCTCAGTAACCGCTTCTGCAATCCTCTTCCTATGAGAGGAAGCCACTCACTAAGGTCAAGTTATTAGCTTGAATAGTGATCCATGTGGAAACAAATACCAAAAATATGCTTCAGAAAAGAAATCTGATTATTTATCCTTCAAACCCCATCTATGAGAGGAAGATATCTTTTCAAGCCATTGTCAGTATTAGGCCCATCTGTTGAGCTGAAAAACTCTCATTATGATAAGTTACTTGCTTGAATGGAAAAGTGCATGAGAGAACTGTCTAAATTGAAAACTTGGTTGCAAACTGACTCCAAAAACAGAAGATGTGATCTGTTTTACGTAAAAATATAAGACTAATAATAAGTATTATCTCAAAAAAAAAATATTTTAGAAAAATAAGACTATAATAAGGAGAATATCTACTAAGAAAAAGCTCTGAAACTCACAACAGCTTAATAATATTGTAATATAATGCAATGTAATCTAATCTATTACATATTTAGAGACTATAATCATGATTAAAGCTGAAGCTATGTTACACTACAAGTTTGATTACATGATTATATAGTGCAAAAAACAAGTTTGATTATTCTGGAAGTTATTTCCAGATTTTATCCCAACCACCTCCTATCTTTATCTAAGACTTATTCCAACATACAAACTCTCACATAATCTTCCAACTACCACATATAATAAAAATTACATCCCTAACATAAACAGATCTTTGTTTATTACATAACATATTCAATTATTACACAACTTTTTCTTCCTTATCTGACACACCTTATCAAATGGTGCAACTAAATTCTGATTTATTGTCCCTAATATACTTTGGTAAAGGTGAGGTAATATCATCACATAAATATATAGAAATAGCTCCTCCAAACTATTCGATATATAAACTAACCTGCAGAATGTTTGAAGAAAGAACTCGCTCCAGATCATCAATTTCTTTTTGAAGCCATTTGTCACGAGCAGCTTTACTAGAAAATTGAGTGGCACGACCTTGTTTTTGATAAAGAATGCTAAGCTGCTTTTCACGCTCCATGATTCTACATATCACCAGAATCAAATATGGAAAGGAAAATATTAGCACTAAACAGTTTATATTAGTGTGATCCTGCATCTTTTTCGCAGTTTATATTTTAACGAAATATGGAAAAAGAAAATTGAGTGACACGACCTCGTTTTTATTCATCTTTTTCACAGTTTATATTTCAAAAAACAAATATTAGCACTTAACAGGTAGCCTCCTCTATGGTGAAGAATAAATGTCATTTTGGGTCACAAATAAAAATGACTCTGTAATGCAAACAGATGACAGGGGAAGGGGGTGTGTGTGTGTGTGTGTGTGTGTGTGTGTGTTTGTCTGATGTCAGATAAATTACGATTAATTTGCCTACTAAGAAATTAGGAAAAAACCTAGATATCACACCTAAGGTTCTTAAGCATCATATACCTAAGGGTTGATTGAGTCATAAAATCAATTATAAGAAATTTTCAAAAAATATTATTGAATACTTCAATGCTTCAATAAGTAAAACTATACTATTTATAATAATCTCCAAGCAATCTTTCTTAAATATAATTAAAATAAGAGAGTAACTTAGTAGAATTAAAAATAGTAATCAATGCACGTTACATTTGCATCTTTTGTGAACCTAATGTTATTACCATTCTTCACTTGAGGTGCTTATTACTTTGTTTCCAAATGGTATCCAGCCTAAAAATCAACTTGAATAAGAGGGAAATGGTTCAGATTGGTGATAGAAGTGATGAAGCTAGTTTGGCCTTGGTTTTGGGCTGCAAAGTCACTAATCTGCTCATTAAGTACCTTGGTCTTCCACTTGGGGCAAAATATAAAGACGTCAGTATGTAGGAATTCCTTTCTAAAGTGGGGAGACTCACTTTGATTAAGAGTACACTTGTTAACTTACCAATCTACTATCTCTTTATCTAACATTACCGTTACATTGCAAAAGACTTGAAACATCA